TTCGCTTGCCACCGCTGCCTTGTGGTTAGGCTATTGAGCCAAAGCGCTAGAGCAGACAACCTAGAACAAACAATCCGTGCGGCTGTTGGGGACCCGCTTGTACCCAAAATTCCCAAGTCACCTCAATGAATCTCTCATGTCCCGGAACGTTAGGATTAATTTGAAGTTAAGCTTAGGGGTCTGGGTAGGATTATGGTTAAGATTGTGGTTATGGTCAAAGTTAGGGCTAGGGCTATAACCCAGACACACTTATCATCCTGGAATTTAACGGAAGATCACGTTTACTACAGGAGGGGCATTCATATTATCGCGTCTTGTTGGTAGAGAACATATAATCGCTTCCGACAAAATGAAAAAAACGGCTAATCTGTCGAAACAAAAAGAACCATCTGCTGTTTATATTTTATAGGCAGTGGTTCATTCGAAGAGATTGAACATCGAGGACGTTCGCCTAACCGTTATAAACCCGACATAAAGAGGCCGGAAGATTTTTCATGGTCAGAAATCAGACTCGGACCGCCGAGACCAAAGTCTGGTTCTAAGGTTCTATCCTGCTCCATCGCGTATGCGCATGGCGTACTGTTGGGAATGCGCCCACTCCCACGATGACTCATCTTACAGAAAGGCTCAGTGTACAACTGCACGCCGCTGTCATGATAGCGTGCGCCGTGGCTATCGATTTTTACTCATAGCTGATTGGTCCATTGCTGCTGACGCCTTATCACCAAGCCGCCGAATTAATACTCAGCTTGACTTGCTCTGTGCGGATATACTTCTCCCCCGGGCCGTTTGACTTCTCTCGTTCTCTCGTACTGGGCCTTAGGGACAACAGCCGGGTTAGCTCAGAGTTCGTGCTAAGTACACGTACCAGGCGCGGGTCGTAACACATACCACCTGAGCCATTGGCTGCATCTGCTTCCAACTCTAAATCTACACGGAAAAAAAAGATGTCTCACCTGTGGAAGGAAGCCCCTTCTCTCCTGAAGAACAGCATGGAACCAGGCCAAACTGGCCAACGCAGTTGCACGGCTCGCCGAATCGGCCTTTGCAACGTAATCGGCATTCCAGCTCTCGTAGGTACGTTTGAGGTTGTTTCGCAAACCAGGTGGGGCCTATAACGGTTTACAAGTAAGACTTCTTAACGGTGTGTTTGTTAGATGGCCTTGAAAACATCAAAGAAGCTATCAGTCAAGTTAGAAAATTTCCCAGTCTGCAGCGAAATACTTGTGCTTCCACAAAGATAAGTGACAGCTGACTGCATCCTCATTTACCTCTTAAATGCAAGCAGGAACAAGCAGTCACAGATAATTCTGAGGCAACACATCGTATTTCTGCGCTTTTAATTACTAGTACACAGGGGTTCGGAAGCTTACCTCATAGGTCACTTTTAGGCATGACTGTAGAAGCGTGGAAGGGAAGGTCTGTTGGGGCTCTGTCGTGAGCCAGAGTCGGAAGTTCGGGTGGAGTTTGGGTCCATCGGAAGCCTTGAATTCGACATC